GAGAGAGAGAGAGAGAGAGAGAGAGAGAGAGAGAGAGAGAGAGAGAGCTAGGTCGGAGCCTCTGAAAACTGCTGGGACTTCTTACCACATTCTACTATGAAAACCTTCCAGAGAAAAGCCTGATGACGAAGAGGAGGGCATTCTACGCACCCTTCGAAAACCCCGAGGGGTCAGAGAGTTGCAGGGTTATAAGGAGGCGGCTCCAAATCTCTCGGTAAGAGGGGCTGCTACAAGCTCTTCTGATTGGCTGAAAAGTTTGTCCTAGAGACCCAGACAAACACCCGCAAGAAAGGGGGTGTGGGTCCCCTACCCCGGGGAACGACTGTTATTTGGGGCCTGCACTTTCAGCGGGAAGGAATGGAAAGGAACTAGGATAGGAGTTCTTGGGAGGCAGGGGCTCTTCGGGAAAAGAGGAGGAAGCTGTTTCCCAGAATTTAGCATCCCTACTGAGAAAGATGGAAAAGAGACTGAAGGAGGACGAAAATGGGAGTCAGAATTCCAGGAGGCTCTGGCTCCCGCCACCCCCAAACATACACCTGTCCTCACAATCAAATGCTGACTCACCTTCTCTGCCCAACAGGGGAGCCAGCCCTCTCCCTCCGGCTCCCCACTCCCCGCTCCCCACTCCCAAGCCGCTCCGTACCTGGATGTTCCTTTTCTTCTCGCAAGCTGGCCCGGTGCCCTGGACCACACTCTCCAGCACTGCGACCACGTCGGGCGAGGGGTCCACGAAGCACGCTCTGCGAGCGGCCCGGATCGCGCCCTCGATGTCCGTAAAGCGGAACACACAGAGGGCAGACTGCGCGCGTGCTCCGGTTCCCCCGGTGCCGCCAGGGGCTGCCCGCTCAAACACCCCGAACAGCAGGTCTTCGGGCCGGCTCGGCCCCGGCGCCGCCGGAAACACGGACACCAGACGGTTGAAGACCTCGCCGCCCGCCGGCCCGCCGCAGTGCAACTTCAGCTGGATGTAGGACTCGGTGAGCTTCTTGGTCTCGGCGGCCGCCCCGCCTGGCCCCCCGGCCGGCCCCCAACCGAGGCAGATGCGGGCCAGCAGGCTGTGAGACTGGCTCTCCTTGTCTCCAGCCTTGGCCTCGCTGTTTAGGGCCAGGTAGGCGTAGGCTGGGGTGGTCGGTGCCCGGGGCCCGTTCCGTCTGTGGGGCGCCGCCGAGCCACCACTGCTGCCCGGGTGCAGGAAGGCGCGGACGAAGCCCAGTTTGTGCAAAGCCTTGGCCCTCTGCTTGATCTTGAGAATATTGTCGTCGGAGGGGTTGAGATCGAAAGTGAAGAGTTTGGCCAGGTCACCACGCGTGTCCAGGGAGCGGATGGCGATCTCCGGAGTGTTCTCGAAGCGGTGGTCTTCCAGACTTTGGTTCCGGGGAAAGAACTGGCTCCCGAAGCCGGTGTAGGTGGCTCCCACCAGCAGCCGGGTCCCGCCGGGACTGGCACCTCCAAGGACCCCCGACGGCGGTTCCAGCACCAGGCCCACAGTGGAAGCGTTAGGGTGGTTGGCTGCTACGTTGAGCATGCTGGGGAAGACGGTGACGGGCTCGGTGCCGTCAGCCGTCGGGGGAAAGCTCACGGCCACAGCCGAGATGTTGCCCAGGCGCCTCAGCTGGCAGAAGCCTTGGTAGATGGAGCCGCAGACCACCACCAAGCCCTGCCCGGGATCTAGCTGAAGGATTTTGTTGTAGTTGTTGGTCAGCATTTTGGGGTGCTCGCAGGAGGCCTGGGGCAGCTGCGGGGCGTGGCATAGGGGGTTGTCCCGCACCGGCCCCACAGCCTCCTCCACCTCCAGGCTCAGGTTGGGGCCGGACAGCTGGTAGAGCCTGTTCACCGCTGCCAGGTACACCTTCCCCCCGGGGCCGTCCAGAGCGAAGTTGTTGGTCGGAGTGGGCGAGGGGAATCGCCGTTGGATCTCCAGCGCGGCGCTCCCCTCTAGCAGCAGCAGCAGCAGCAGCAGCAGTAGCGGCCGCAGCAGGGGGGTCGTCACCCCCGGGAGCCGGGGGCTACGGGCTGCGCCCCCCGCGGCAGGAGGAGCCATCCTGACGCCTCCTGAGCTGCAGCGCAGCCGAGTGCATTTGGAGCTGCCGGAGCTAGCAGCCGGTAGAGCGGTGAGGGAGGGGCAGGGGCTGGGGAGGGGGGCGGGCGGGTGGGGGAGCTGTTGGGAAGTGGGGGGGGGGCGCTCTACGCTAAACCTGTTTCCTGCGCGGCTCGAGTAGCTCTCGTAACGCCCGCCCGCAGCTCAAGTCCTGTCCGGCTCCCTCTCTGGCCCCGCCGCCTGCCCTCCCTAGCCTAGCCTAGCCTAGCCTAGCCTAGCCTAGCCAGCGACTTTCACAGCCGCGCGGCTGCCTCGGAGCTTCCCCGCTGGGGAAGCAGGAGGAGGAGGAGGACGAGAACTAGGAGGAGGAGGAGGAAGGGCTAACGCCGCTGACCAACCCGCTCCCCGCCTCTCTCCTCCCCTCTCCCATCCCCTTCGCTTCAGAAACCAGCCCTTTCCTCCTCTGCTCCCTCCCTCCCCCTTTCGCTTTACACATTTTATTTCTCCCTCTTATTTGGGGATTGGTCATGTGAATGTGATTAAGTTGGAGGAGGCTTTTCTACCCACCCCCCTTCCCCCTCCAGATTCCCAGGCAAAAGTCTCCTTTCCCGATCCAGCCCGGGAGAAAAAGGCTGGGGTTGCAGCCTGGGCAGCCCCTCGTGGTCACCAGCACACCACCCTATATCCTAGATAGCTTTCTCTCCCTGGGGAAAAAGGAACACGGACGGCTCCTTCCCAAGCAGGGAGGCAGAGGAAGAACGTCCCACCCACCCCCCCCGCCCTCGTCCCCTCCCCCGCTGCCCACGGGATGGGGGAATCCAAAGGACACACACACACTCGCACTCACAATCTACAGGGGTAGCCAAATGCTGTCCCGCCCCCCTCCCCCAAGCTCCCCATCCCATCAGAGCTCGCTTGGCTCTCCCTGGGCCCAGCTCGAGTCAAAATAAGTTAACGGTCATCCTCTCGAAGAAGCTGCCCTCCCTTCCCATAAAAGGGGTTTTACAAGGAGAAAATAACAAAGGGGACGAGGATGGGCTGTCTGGCCCTCGGGGGGTCAAATATATAAATCATGAATAAATTGAAAGGGGAAATATTTCAAGCATGTTAGGGGGCGAGAGAGAGCACGAAGCTTACTAGGAATCAGTCACTGGCACCAGCAATAGCCCTTAATTATACTCTGAGAGGACAAGGGGAGGGGGAGTCGGCAGTAATGGACTGACCTGGTGTGGCTTGAGTTGTTTCCACTTTCGACAAAAAAACGCCCAGTATACATTAACCATAGAGCTTGGCTGCTGGGGGGTTTCTCTGAATAGCTACCAGCTTGAGCTGAGAAGGGGCCTAATGAGGCCTTAACACCTGCCAGGCTCCTGGGTTTTTTGTAGATCCAGGGCCCTCTTTATAGAGAACTCTCCAAATGTGCCAATACCACAGCTCTGGATTCAGAGGCCTTGAAGAAACCCTCTTCCCACTCCCTTTTTTCCCCTCAATTTGCCCACTTGAGCTAGACCGGACACCTTCAGGCCCATTACACCTTAGTTTCAAAACTGTAGTAATAGCCAGATTCAAAGCATCGGCATAGGAATGCTAAGGGGGAAATGCAGTTATTCACATAGAATTTTAGTAGAAAGAATACAGAGCCGAGAACAAGGAAACCTGGGTTCTTTCCCCATTCTGACACTGATTTGCTGGGTGAATTTGTTGAATCTTAGTTTCTCCATTCGAAAAATGAGAAGATTGGATTGCATGAACCCTTCCATCTCTGACATTCTATATACTAACATTCTTTGTTCTACAGACTCTTTCAAGTCTGACTTTCTGTGTTCAAACATCCTATAGGTTATATACATATATATAGGATATATTCTAACATTCTGTGTTCCAAGGTCCCTTTTAGCATTACCATTTGGTATTGTAATATTCATTGTTTTAAAGTTCCTTCCAGCTCTGACTTGCTACTTTCCAAAGTTCTTTCTGGCACTAATATCCTGTGTTCTAATGTTTTATGTTCTAAGAGCCCTTTCAGCATTAACATTCTTTCTTGTAATGTTCTAGTTTGAGGTCTGACTTTCTACATTCTAACATTCTGTGTTCACAATTGTTCCAGCTTTGCCAGTCCATGTTCTATGCTGCCCTCCCTGATCTAACATTCTATAAAGTCCTCTCCAGATCTATTGTGCTATATTTGAACATTCCACGTTCAAAGGACTCTTGCAGTTCTGGTAGTCTATCATTCTATAACTTATCTACTGCCCAGTAATTATCCAAACAAGCCTTTTTATTTACAAATCAAGTTTCCTGGTTGGGCTGGTGTGAGGTTCATATTTTCCAGAAATCAATTCTTTTCCACCACTCTCTCTAAGGGAAGGGCACAGGGATCTGCATATCTGCAGCTGCCGATAGGGTAACAGGAGCCGTATTTAATCTCTCTCAGACAGTGCTTACTATTATTTTGGCTCAGGAAGGAAAACAAAGGCCCCAACCCCCCCACACACACACACACCTCTGCTGGGAACAACTGCCCGCTGGACACTAGCCCCTCACCCTCTCCTTCCTGTTGCTGGACTCAGAAAGCAAGTTTGCTGATAAACTGCTTTCTTAAAGGTCCCATTTTCCCCTCCTCTAATGCAAGAAGGGCTTTGATAGTTCCCCAATGTGTTTATAATGCCAATGGTTTCTTTCACCAGGAAATATGAGCAGAGTCTGAGAACCATGCTGGGGCTGCATCAGCTCATCCCTGTCAGCTCTCAGGATCAAGGCCCTGCAAGAGACAAGAACATGGAACAATTTATGTCCCTGCTTTTATCTCGAGGGTAGGATGTGGGATAGGAGTTCTCAGTCACATGTGGAAAACAGGCCAGTTTGATTCTGCAAACCCCAGAATAAATAACCCAAAGGATGACAGTTTGCAAGAAGGAAAAGGGGCGCCATTTTTATATGTAACAGGTCACTGGGAGACACGGATGAAGCATAAGAACCTACTTGAAGGGTAGTAAATCTATTTTCTCCTGTACCTTTTGGTTCTCTCTCTCTCTCTCTCTCTCTCTCTCTCTCTCTCTCTCTCTCTCTCAATCCTTCCTGTTTCAGGGCTTGTTTTAGGTTTTGAAACTCAAGTTCATATACTGTAGCACCACCCACTGAGCCTCTCAAATACTGCTTCAGATTGGAGAAGAAACAACTCAGTGAGTTTTGTTACACTGGTGGCTTCTGGAAAACAAAAAATCCACTACTGGTTTCTTGGGCCAAATCTGTGAGATGCTTTTCTACGGGGAGCAAGAGGAAGGAAGGGACAGGGCGTTGAGATCAGAAAGGTGACAGACAAAAGCAATGTGCAACGTGGCCTGATGTTCTCAAATGAGGTCTTAATCTGAAAGAAGTAGTACTCCAAATCTTAGGACTAGTGAGCATGGACTGAGAAAGCAAGATGGGACCTCAGAATGCCTCCAGCCTATGCCCAATCACTTTTCCCCTGTTTGTGGACTGGAGTCAAGACCCAGTTTGTGGGGTTGCATTGAGGGAAGTGCTTCAGAAACCATAAAGCACGATATAAACATGGTATAAATCATAAAGCATGATATAAACATGAGACAACATTTTAAGCACTTTTGAGCAAAACAGAAACTTTAAAAATAGTTATAAAGATAGTTTTCTAAGAGAACTGGGTTCGGTCCCATTTCTGACATTTATAGTTGTCTGACCTTGGGCAAGTCACTACTACTCAGAGCCTTGGTTTCATCATCTAAGAAAATTCCTTTAGCAAATCAAGGCGTCATCCTGGTTTATTCTTCCCTCTCGTTTTTGTTGTTGGTTGGTTGGTTTTTTATGGCATTGGTCCTTTTCTAATTTTTTTTTTATTTTTAAATTAATTAATTTATTTTTAGTTTTCAGCATGTTTATTTTTGGAGGCCATGGGGTTAAGTGACTTGTTCAAGGTCACTCAGCTAGTAAGTGTCTGAGGCTAGATCTGAACTCAGGTCCTCCTGACTCCAGGGCCAGTGCTCTATGCACTGGCCCACCTGGTTGCCCTACTTCCTTCTTCATTTTTTGTTTGTTTGTTTTGTGGCTAGGCAATGGAGTTAAGTGACTTGCCCGGGGTCACACAGCTAGTAAGTATTATGTGTCTGAGGCCGGATTTGAACTCAGGTCCTCACCTTGCTGCCCATTCCCTCTTGTTTTACGGATGGAAAAATAAGAGCCTTGAAGAGGCAGTCATTTGCCCCAGGTCACATAGCTAATAAGTGGTAATAAGAAGTGGGGTACAGGTCTCCTGACTTATAGAAACTCAGAGGTGGACACCAACTCAGGAACTATTGAGGTCAACCCAGGTCTGAAAAGAAATCTCAGTCCTCTTAGCCTCCACTCACAGGGGCAGAGATTGAGAACTGAAAGGGACCTCAAAGGCCACTGGGCCCAACTCCCTCATCTTGTAGAGAGGGAGGTGATGTGATCTGCCCAAGGTCACATAGGTAGAAAGCCTCAGAGACAAGATTTGAACTTAGGTCCTCTGACTCCAGAACCAGGGCTTTTTCTGTAGTCAATGACTTCAAAGGGCTTATAATTTCATAGGGCAGAAGGATTATACACATTAAAAAAAAAAAAACTCAACGACCTAACAATCCAGACATGGAACATGGGAGAAGAACCCGGAGGAGAGGTAGAGAGTGCCTTAGGCCAAGGCAGGCAGGGAAGGCTTCCCGGAGGTAGTGGGACATGTAGAAAGTACAAAATTTAGCAAATCGTAAAGGATATAGACTTGTGGGGTTAACGCTTCCCAAAACAGAGGATTTCACAAGTAGAATCTTGGGTAAATCACTTAATAATAGTAATAGCATTTATATGTCACTTTTGGGGTCTGCAAAGCACTTTACATATAGAAAATGGGAAAGGAAGAAGCATCTATTAAGCACCTACTATGTACTAAGCATGTGTTAAGAGCTTTACTTGGATCCTCACAACAGCCCTGAGAGATTGATGCTATTATTACCCCCATTTTACAGATGAGGAAATTGGAGCAAACAGAAGTTAAGTGACTTACCTAG